TTTTCAATCGTGTTATTAGATTTTGTGAGTCAAACAGCTCAAAGATTTAATTTTAAACGGAACTGTATTACTAAACTCTCTCCCACCCAAAAAATGTTTTTAGAGAAGAATATCGTTTAAATAAAAAACCTTCGGCCCTATCCCCTAAAAAACCAGAATCATCTAATTTTTACTAAAAACCCCCATGCGGCTCTGGTAAAAAGACTCCCCCCTATCGATTATCCGGACACCCAAACGCCGTATACCTAAAATAGAAAAAACACGTTAATAAGTAGTTTTGAAATTTTTAACAAAAGTTTTCATACTCTACCTAGTCAAAAAAAAACAATGGTTCACGTGTTTGTTTTGGTGACCCAAAACCTTGTAAGTATTCAACCATAACCTCAACTATGTTCAAGTTGACATATTCAACCCTAACCTCAACTGTTGTTTAAATTGCCAAAACAGTATAATATTCCCAATGTGACGTCTTTTTGTTGCAATGACGTGCTTCCTTGTTGAAAAAGGCAATGTTTCCTCATTTTGGGGCCAATCAACCCGGCCCCAATAGATATGGGGGCCAGTGGGCCCCCAGAGAACAGCCTATTATCAAGCTAGCACCAGATAAGCCCGGCCAATGGGCCCGGCTCCGAGGTAGAAAAAATCTCAAGAGCTATCAAACTTAAACTTAAAAAAAATACCCGTAGTCTTTTTTTTTAAAACACAAACCCTTTTCCCAAAAGGGGAAAGGGGGACTGAGAAAAAAGGAAACGCATTCAAATCATTCTTCAAATGTTTTCTTGCTAGAACATGCTGACAACCAGTTTAGCTGGCCCTTAATTTAAAATCCTCACCTTCCTCTACAGGGGAAACCCAAAAAATCAGGCTGCCAATGGGGCAAACTATCTAAAATATGGGAAAAGCACTAGCCAGAGAAAAAGAAAATGTTTAATTTAAAGCTTTGGGGAAACCACAGGAGCCAAAAAAACACAGAAAAAACTTAAAACTTTTAGAGTGCAGAATTGTACTTCAAACCCCCAGAACTCCAGGGCTAGAATTTTTCTCACCTTTTGGGAAATTTTGTCTTGGGAAAAAGGCATATCCTTTTCCCGCCTTTGATGTGTATGGGCAGCCTGCAGCTTTACCACGGCCTCAATGCTCTCTTTTTAAAATCCCATCTTCGTCAACCCTTTTTTAGATTCCCTATAAAGGGCCCGGGGGCAGCGATCGGAGGAGATTTTTGGCAAAATCGGAAATTGTCCTGCAAAACAAAGGCTGCATTTTTTTACTTGAAACTGAAGGGCTCTTGATCCCAAAAAACAGGAGCTCCCCCTGGGTATCTTTATTTTTGGGAAAAATTTTTATTCCAGTGGCTTCCTCATCCAATACAAGAAGAATGGAAAAGATAGAAGGAGTTTTGGAATCAGTCCCCCAGCCTGGAGTCGATGTAGCCCATCAAATTAATCAAAGGGAATCCGACTACCTTCTTCTCGAGGGGACTGTATACCTTTACAAAATTTTTTCTTCCAGATAAATGTAATAAAATCATACAAGTAACATTGGGGGAAAAAGGGAGTATAAACAAAACAAATAAGCTACTACTTGCTACTACTTTACTACACGAATTTCATGGGTTCCTGAACGTAACTCCATTGTAGATTGAGGAGCACCCTTTTTTTCACTTTTTAACACGTTTTTTTTCCAAACTGGGCACTACCCACCCCGGTAGGGAAACCCAAAAGAAAAATACATTTTTCCCCCCCACTCGGAAAGTCTTTTCCCAAAGTGACAAAAATATCTTCTTAAGAAGTTTAATCATTACCATACCACTTAATTCATTTAGTGGATGCAGAGTGACAAACAAATTTTGATAAGATTTGGGGAAACGGTTAGCCAGACTTTAGTCCTGGAGGTGGGGAAAAACGTGATTACCCTGAAGGAGGGTGGGTATGTTTCATTTGATAGCCAACTGAACCAAAACCTCACACTTCGGGGAAAACGTGATTTGGGAAAAAATAATGACTGTTTAGAAAAAACTGAGCAAATATAGGATTATTTTTTACAAAAAGTTTAGTCCTGGGGCCTTAAGTGATCAAAGCCCCAGGACCGAAACATTTTCTAATATGTCCTAGAAACAAAACCCCAGACGGGGGGGGATTTTAACTCAGGGGAACGAGTCCTAAAGAGCTCATGTGTTTTTCTAACCAATTTTTATGGGATCTATTACCAAGGTTATCCATAAAGATGATGAATAGATTCCTCTTCTTTTTTTGGGTTGCCCTACCCCAGTGGGGGACAGCCAGTTTTAAAAGAAAAAAAAAAAAAGGGGAAAGGGGGAAAAAACCCCGTAAGTGAGCAAAAACTACCAAAAATGTGTCCCCCGTCACCAAGATGGTTTATCTCAGAAGTCTACCCCGAAACTCAAACAAGCGACTTAGGCTCTCTCCAATAATGGGACCCGGAAAAAAAAAATATAAAAACCCAAACATGATTACAATTTTCCATAGACAATACTGCTTAAAGGTTTTAAAATACGTGGACCCCCCGGAAAAAAGATCACTCCCAAGACCAATTATGAAGTTTATTTTGTAAGTGCCCTTTTTTTAGGTATTTTTAGGGTCGAAAAGGACTAAAAATTCCAATATTTCTTAGGGAACAAATTTGGGCTATCGCACCCAAACAGACTTCTGGATTCAATAAATCTTATGCGGGGGTCCCTGTTAACTTGACTCAAGAAATCGAAAAGACACGATTGCAAACAAACCCTAAACCCCCGGCCGGGGTTGAACCCGGACGGGGGAGTTTTAGACCTATGACCCGGTTCAATCCCGGCCGGGGTATGGTTTTTCCCCCTGTATAGGTGTGACTATTAATGGCCAATCAGACCAAAAATCGCAAAAATTTTTCCTTGGTGCAGCTATTTTATGGGATTGTTTCATACGTACCTTTTTGTTCTTTTGAATTAAAAGTGCTCATGTAAATGACAATTTTTTTAAATATAAATTTTAATAACAGCTACAAACCCCAAAAATGGGGGAATGCACATATAAATGCCCTGTGGGTACATTTTTTTATCACAGTAACATTCTCTTATCAACATAGGTACCAAATTAGGGGGAAAACCCTTACCCTCCTCATTCAAAAGGTATTTGCCAGAAATAAGAACACAATTTAAAAAAACTCTCCAAAAATGCAAGTCCCCCCTATCTCCCAAAGGGGGTTTAAACCCCTGGGAAGCCAGTGGTAAAAATAGCAGACAGTACACTAGCCTGATGGTTTTACCACTGGCTTGTCATGGCTTAGAGTCCTACATTCACAGAGTTGTTCATAACTTTATTACTGTATTTTAGTTTTTTTACAAAACAAAATTTGACAGTTTTAAAAGCCGTTTCCTACCTCACTTATTTCAAAGCCCAGGTTTTAATTAAGGCAGAGGTTTGGGGGAAATTGGGGGAATTAAAACCCCAAAAGGGGGAAAAGTGAAAAACTAGGGGTAATGAAGGCTCAATGAATGTAAATAAAATCACAGAAAAATTTATTATTTAATAAGCAAAGCAAACTGTGAAAGTTATATTTTTTCAAACAAACAATTTTCAGTCTAGTGGGTAATTACTCTGTACACAAATTTGTTTTGGGGTAATACCCAAAAAAAGTTCACCAATTTCTGATCTAAGGTATACTACCACCTTCCAGGATGCCACCTGCAACAGTTGACTAACACCCAGATACCTACTTAATGCTAGGTGAACTTGGGTGGCCTGGTGGCTAAAGCTCCCGCTTCACACACGGAGGGCCCGGGTTCGATTCCCGGCGGGTGGAAACATTTCGACACATTTCCTTACACCTGTTGTCCTGTTCACCTAGCAGCAAATAGGTACCTGGGTGTTAGTCGACTGGTGTGGGTTGCATCCTGGGGGACACGATTGAGGACCCCAATGGAAATAAGTTAGACAGTCCTTGATGACGCACTGACTTTCTTGGGTTATCCTGGGTGGCTAACCCTCCGGGGTTAAAAATCTGAACCAAATCTTATCTTATCTTAACTGGGGCTCCAGGTGTAAGGAAACATCCCTAACATTTCCACCCGTACCAGAAATCGAACCACGGACACTCAGTATGCGAGGTAAGTGCACTTCCAACTGAGCCACGAGCCACCATTCACAAGTCATCCCAACCTATCCTTCAAAATGCAGGCACTGTACTTCTCACTTCCAGAATTCATGTTTGGCTGCCTTTGATGACTTACAGGAGTAACTATTCAAAGTAACTCATCAGAGCCTGGCCATGAGCAAGGCCTATCTGGTGTTTGACTGGTCAACCAGGCTGTTGCTGCTGGTGGCCTTCTGAAGGATGGGGAAGACTGGTAACAGGGGTAAAAGAAGCAACATAAACTTCAGAACTGTGTTATCACTGAACTTACAAAACTGACTGAGTAACATAAATGTATTTCCTCTTATTTTGGTCACCCTACCTTGGTGGGAGATGGCCAGTGTCTTAAAAAAATTAAAAATGTTGAAATCCATGTGCCTACTCAATAAAGAGAACAATACACAAATAACCCGCACATAGGAAACTGAAACTTAAGTTGACGTTTCGGTCCAATTTGGACAAAGTCGGACCGAAACATCATAGGTTTCATTCTCCTATGTGCGGGTTATTTGTGTATTGTTCCAGACACGGTATTCAGTCTTTTTACTTTTTAAAAAGAATATTATACAGTAGGACCCCTGTATCCGCGGGGGATACATTCCAAGGACCTGTTGTGGACACTGAAACTGCGGATAGTAGTGAACCCTACATACAAGTCCTATACATCCCTATTATAAAGTTTAATTGAAAAATTATGCACAATAATTGGAGAATTATCAATTTTTCACTGATGGGAAGCACTTCACACCTTCTCTTAGGCTTTGAAGAACTGCCAGCTTCTCTACTTTTGCACTTTGGGGCCATTATTATGCAAAATTAAGAGGTATTTTTGGGCCACAGAAAAACATGGATAACTGAAACTGCAGATATGGGGGTTCTACTGTACATTACAATATAATGAAAATATTGTACGCTAACCTTAGGTGTCCTACATGCATCTCCTTAGCAATGTTGGGCGAGGAAAAATCAATCACAACTCTCTTTGGTGTTACTGGTGGTGGAGTCACACCATTCATGATGACATTTGTAATCTGTATGAAAAAAAAAACATTTGTCAGAAAAAAACCAGAACACTACAATAATTTATATCATGATGATACACAGTTGATACAAAGTACGTACTTGGACTTCTCAAAGACTAAAAAGGCACAATACCGTGACTGAAACAATACACAAATAACCCTTACCTTCGTGTGTTAGTGTGTGACTAGTTAAGGGTCCACGTTGGATCAAAACGGCATTACAAGTTCATTTCTCCTGTGTGTGGATTATCTGTGTTTCTCAAAGATATTCAGTAAAGTGCCATACAATAACAACTCCAGGAAATTAAAACAAAATTACAAAAATACAATCAGTTTTAAATGGGCAAATAATCTAAATGGAAAAACCTTCTGAGACACCAGTTTATGGCCCACTATTTAATGAAACCTTTACTACCATGGATCAAAATTTCTCAAGCCTCAATAAATTTTTAACGACACTAAGATTTACAAAAGAGATAGTGATAAGAACATGATATAACTTCTAGGTAAGCCCCTTTTTTCTTGAAGAGTGATGTATTTATAAATAAGCTAGAGAGAAGAGAGAACAAATAATGCTATAAGCATCTAGTCCTTTTATTCACTTGACTATATCTTTCAACAGTAACTGTAAATGTCAAGCACTGAAATAACTAATAAGGAAGTATTATCGTTATAATAAAGGGGAAGTGGTAAACCTGTAGTGGTCATATACAGTAGTCTCCCTGTATCCGCAGGGGATATGTTCCAAGACCTACCATGGATACCCAAAACTGTGGATAGTGGCAAACCCTATACATATGACATTTTTAGTTTATATACAGCATCTCCTCACTTAATGAGAGAGTTCTGTTTCTAAGATCATGTCAGTAAACAAATTTGTCACTAAGTAAGGAGCATACTGTAATGGTAGTGTGTTTGTGTCAACCATCCTTAATAGTACAGTGGACCCCTGCCTTACAATATAATTTCATTCCAGAAGTATGTTCAGGTGCCGTTACCGAACAAATTTGTTCCCATAAGGAATATTGTGAATTAGATTAGTCCATTTCAGACCCCCAAAAATACACATACAAAAGCACTTACATAAATACACTTACATAATTGGTCACATTGGAAGCTGATCGTAAGGTGGGGGTCCACTGTATTTTAATGCCACCTTTGCACCATTTATAACATTCCTGGTATATTTTTCAATGTTTATACAGTAGTGTACTGTATATTGTATTTTTTTTTTATTATTATTATCACACTGGCCAATTCCCACCAAGGCAGGGTGGCCCGAAAAAGAAAAACTTTCACCATCATTCACTCCATCACTGTCTTGCCAGAAGGGTGCTTTACACTACAGTTTTTAAACTGCAACATTAACACCCCTCCTTCAGAAAAGAAAAAATCAGCACTAATATACTTTATTTAGGTATGCATACTGGTCAGAGAGCCCATCATAAGTCCGTGTCATCAGTAAACAAGTGTGTCGCTAGTGATGAGAGGCTGTACATGCCTATGAAGTTTAATTGATAAATTACGCACAATAAGTAGAGCATTAGCCCTTTTTCACTGATGGGAAGCACTTCATGGCTTCTCTTAGGCTTTGAAAAGCTGCCACCATCACTACTTTTGTGCTTTGGGGCCATCATTAAGCAAAATTAAGCATTATTTTTGGCTCATGGTAAACCACAGATAACTGAAATCACGGGAACCGAATCTACGAATACGGGAGTTCTACTGTAGTACAATGGAGATGGAAGACAATCTGGTTCAGTTCAAGAAATGGAGGACAGGTTCACTTTCCTCACTGGCATCAAGGACCTCCCTTGAAGCCATAGAACAGTAATGAAATCTCTGACAGAACTCTGAAGATCAAAGGATTCTGGACACAATGGCACATCACAATGTAAACAGTACTAAATTAATAGTAAAAGCAATTAGTTAGCACCACAGCATTACAAAATAATAGTAAATAAAACTGAAATACAGTGGTCCCTCGTTTTTCGTAATTAATCCGTTCCTGGAGCCGTTACTATAAACAAAATTTACGATTTGCGAATCAATTTTCCCCATAAGAAATAATGTAAATACAATTAATCCGTTCCTGACACCCAGAAGTATTAAAACAAAAAAAATTTTTACATGAAATATACATGTAGTACATAAAGAATACAATGGGAAATGATGAATGAAACATTAACAGCATAACATTTACCTTTATTGGAGATTCTTCTTAGTGTATGGGAGACTGGAGGAGGAGAGACAGATTGGATTGTTCACAGTTTGGAAGGGGAATCCCCTTCCAGCAACACCTCAGGTACCAATTGCTTCTCTGGGGTTGCTTCTCTTCTCTGTTTCTTAATGCCACTAGGACCACCTTGAGAGTCACTCTAGTCCTGTCTCGCAAAGTAACTGTGGAGAGAGCTCTGTTTCTGGTGTCTCTTAAACACTTCCCTAAAATGGCCCAAGACTTTGTCACTGTACATATTTCTCACCTTCTTTACCACAGGCTTGGCACTAGGAGCTTTCTTTGGAGCCATGGTAGCTTATTTAGTACTTGCAAGCACTAAAATGAGTGGAATATTATGAAATATTTCGTAGGAGCAGTTGAGGGGACCTTCACTCACTGGTAAACAATGCGAGACTGGCTGGGTAGGGAGGCCGCCCCGGCTCACACCGTGCGTACGCATCCCGGACAAACTACTATTCGCGAGTCAACCTATGAAAAGCGAGTCCATGTTTATACGAAAATACCCCTATGATTGGCGAAATTTACGATTGCCGAGAACTACGAAAAGTGAGGGACCACTGTATTAAGAGATCTCACGATATTACATTAGCTCGTTGGTTGCTCGTACGTTGGTTTGCGTGCAGCCAGCAGTAATAGCCTGGTTGATCAGGCTCTGATCCACCAGGAGGCCTGGTCACAGACCGGGCCGCGGGGGCGTTGACCTCCGGAACTCTCTCCAGGTAAACTCCAGGTAAACACAAATAACCCACACATAGGAGAAACAAATTTGTGACGTTTCAGTCCCACTTGGACCATTTACTAGTCAGTGTGTTACTAGTTAATGGTCCAAGTTGGACCGAAATGCTGTCATAAGTTTCTTTCCCTTATGTGCAGGTTATTTGTGTATTGTTAGGTAAAAGGACACAAGTGCAACTAATGTGACATTTTACTGTGGCAACATTTCACTCTCCAGGACCTTGACAAAGCTCCTGGAGAGTGAAACATTGCCACAATAAAATGTCACATTAGTTGTACTTGTGTCCTTTTGCCTAACATATTGTCGGTAATTCTACCAACATTATTACACTATCTGTGTGTTGTTCCAGTCATGGTATTGTGCCTTTCTTCTTTTTATTAGTGTTGGTCTAACCTGCTGTCTTATAAACTCTTGACTGAGGACAATGTTGATGAAGCCTGGGCCAGACATATCCATCTTTTCTATCATGGGATCCGGAGCTACATTCTCAACAATCATTTGTCCAACTTCACGTGGATTTTTCTTCAGAATCTGAAAATAAAAACAAATATGAACACTAAGAAATATGATAAGCAGATAAAAATCTTTTTATATATAGGAAGGCCCCATGTGTACCTATTTTTGGTGTTCCATATTTTTGTTCGCTTTCAATTGAGCCATTGTTCATTATGTTCAGTGCTTTTACCGCTGCTCTGCCATTTTTAAGAGATAAGATAAGATAAGATTTCGTTCGGATTTTTTTAACCCCGGAGGGTTAGCCACCCAGGATAACCCAAGAAAGTCAGTGCGTCATCGAGGACTGTCTAACTTATTTCCATTGGGGTCCTTAATCTTGTCCCCCAGGATGCGACCCACACCAGTCGACTAACACCCAGGTACCTATTTGCTGCTAGGTGAACAGGACAACAGGTGTAAGGAAACGTGTCGAAATGTTTCCACCTGCCGGGAATCGAACCCGGGCCCTCCGTGTGTGAAGCGGGAGCTTTAGCCACCAGGCCACCGGGCCACCGTACAGCAGTTGCGTAAGGGTAGGACTACTGGCGCCATATTTTTTTTTTTTTTTTTTTCAACAAGTCGGCCGTCTCCCACCGAGGCAGGGTGACCCAAAAAAGAAAGAAAATCCCCAAAAAGAAAATACTTTCATCATCATTCAACACTTTCACCACACTCGCACATTATCACTGTTTTTGCAGAGGTGCTCAGAATACAACAGTCTAGAAGCATAAACATATAAAGATACACAACATATCCCTCCAAACTGCCAATATCCCAAACCCCTCCTTTAAAGTGCAGGCATTGTACTTCCCATTTCCAGGACTCAAGTCCGACTATATGAAAATAACCGGTTTCCCTGAATCCCTTCACTAAATATTACCCTGCTCACACTCCAACAGATCGTCAGGTCCCAAGTACCATTCGTCTCCATTCACTCCTATCTAACACGCTCACGCACGCTTGCTGGGAAGTCCAAGCCCCTTACCCACAAAACCTCCTTTACCCCCCTCTCTCCAACCCTTTCGAGGACGACCCCTACCCCGCCTTCCTTCCCCTATAGATTTATATGCTTTCCATGTCATTCTACTGTGATCCATTCTCTCTAAATGACCAAACCACCTCAACAACACCCTCTTCTGCCCTCTGACTAATACTTTTATTAACTCCACACCTTCTCCTAATTTCCACACTCCGAATTTTCTGCATAATATTTACACCACACATTGCCCTTAAACAGGACATCTCCGCTGCCTCCAACCGTCTCCTCGCTGCTGCATTTACCACCCAAGCTTCACACCCATATAAGAGTGTTGGTACTACTATACTTTCATACATTCCCTTCTTTGCCTCCATAGATAACGTTTTTTGACTCCACATATACCTCAACGCACCACTCACCTTTTTCCCTCATCAATTCTATGATTAACCTCATCCTTCATAAATCCATCCGCCGACACGTCAACTCCCAAGTATCTGAAAACATTCACTTCTTCCATACTCCTCCTCCCCAATTTGATATCCAATTTTTCTTTATCTAAATCATTTGACACCCTCATCACCTTACTCTTTTCTATGTTCACTTTCAACTTTCTACCTTTACACACATTCCCAAACTCATCCACTAACCTTTGAAATTTTTCTTTAGAATCTCCCATAAGCACAGTATCATCAGCAAAAAGTAACTGTGTCAATTCCCATTTTGAATTTGATTCCCCATAATTTAATCCCACCCCTCTCCCAAACACCCTAGCATTTACTTCCTTTACAACCCCAACTATAAATATATTAAACAACCATGGTGACTTTAAACACATCCCTGTCTAAAAACCTACTTTTACCGGGGAAGTAGTCTCCCTCTCTTTACACACCCCTAACCTGAGCCTCACTATCCTCATAAAAACTCTTTACAGCATTTAATAACTTACCCACCTATTCCATATACTTGCAACATCTGCCACATTGCTCCTCTATCCACTCTATCATATGCCTTTTTCTAAATCCATAAATGCAATAAAAACTTCCCTATCTTTATCTAAATACTTTTTCACATATATGCTTCAATGTAAACACCTGATCTACACATCCCCTACCCACTCTAAAACCCCTTGCTCATCCGCAATCCTACATTCTGTCTTACCTCTAATTCTTTCAATTATAACCCTACCGTAAAACTTTTCCTGGTATACTCAGTAAGCTTTTTCCTCTAAAAATTTTTACAGTCTCTTTTGTCCCCTTTCCCTTTATATAAAGGGACTATACATGCTCTCTGCCAATCCCTAGGTACCTTCCCCTCTTTCATACATTTATTAAACAAAAGTACCAACCACTCCAACACTATATCCCCCCTCTTTTAACATTTCTGTCATGATCCCATCAGTTCCAGCTGCTTTACCCCCTTTCATTTTACGTAATGCCTCACGTACCTCCCCCACACTTACATTCTGCTCTTCTTCACTCCTAAAAGATGGTATACCTCCCTGACCAGTGCATGAAATTACTGCCTCCCTTTCTTCCTTAACATTTAAAAGTTCCTCAAAATATTCTCGCCATCTAACCCAATACCTCCATCTCCCCATCTACTAACTCCCCTACTCTGTTTTTAACTGACAAATCCATATTTTCCCTAGGCTTTCTTAACTTGTTTAACTCACTCCAAAATTTTTTCTTATTTTCATTAAAATTTCTTGACAGTGCCTCTCCCACTCTATCATCTGCTCTCCTTTTGCACTCTCTCACCACTCTCTTTACCTTTCTTTTACTCTCCATATACTCTGCTCTTCTTATAACACTTCTGCTTTGTAAAAACCTCTCATAAGCTACCTTTTTCTCTTTTATCACACCCTTTACTTCATCATTCCACCAATCACTCCTCTTTCCTCCTGCCCCCACCCTCCTATAACCACAAACTTCTGCCCCACATTCTAATACTGCATTTTTAAAACTATTCCAACCCTCTTCAACCCCCCCACTACTCATCTTTGCACTAGCCCACCTTTCTGCCAATAGTCGCTTATATCTCACCCGAACTTCCTCCTCCCTTAGTTATACACTTTCACTTCCCTCTTACTTGTTGTTGCCACCTTCCTCTTTTCCCATCTACCTCTTACTCTAACTGTAGCTACAACTAAATAATGATCCGATATATCAGTTGCCCCTCTATAAACATGTACATCTGGAGCCTACCCATCAACCTTTTATCCACCAATACATAATCTAATAAACTACTTTCATTACGTGCTACATCATACCTTGTATATTTATTTATCCTCTTTTTCATAAATATGTATTACTTATTACCAAATTTCTTTCTACACATAGCTCAATTAAAGGCTCCCCATTTACATTTACCCCTGGGCACCCCAAATTTACCTACTACTCCCTCCATAACATTTTTACCCACTTTAGCATTAAAATCCCCAACCACCATTACTCTCACACTTGATTCAAACTCCCCACGCATTCACTCAACATTTCCCAAAAATCTCTCTCTCTCCTCTACACTTCTCTCTTCTCCAGGTGCATACACGCTTATTATAACCCACTTTTCACATCCAATCTTTATTTTACTCCACATAATCCTTGAATTAATACATTTATAGTCCCTCTTTTCCTGCCATAGCTTATCCTTCAACATTATTGCTACTCCTTCTTTAGCTCTAACTCTATTTGAAACCCCTGACCTAATCCCATTTATTCCTCTCCACTGAAACTCTCCCACCCCCTTCAGCTTTGTTTCACTTAAAGCCAGGACATCCAGCTTCTTCTCATTCTTCTCATATTTAGAGCTGTATTAACAGGATCCTTCTGTACAGTAATTTTGTATATTATATTCACAAAGATTAGTTGTGTCGATATAGGAGACCCCAAACTCGAAAACTCCAACTTATACACATCTACACTTACAAATGAGGCACTTTAGTAACCAATTAGTTAGTACCATGGTTAGGCATGGTACTAATTGGTACTAACTATTCTTAAGCATGGTACTAATCGGTACTAACCATGCTTAGGCATGGTACTAATTGGTACTAACTATTCTTAAGCATGGTACTAATCGGTACTAACCATGCTTAGGCATGGTACTAATTGGTACTAACCATGCTTAGGCATGGTACTAATTGGTACTAACCATGCTTAGGCATGGTACTAATTGGTACTAACCATGCTTAGGCATGGTACTAATTGGTACTAACCATGCTTAGGCATGGTACTAATTGGTACTAACCATGCTTAGGCATGGTACTAATTGGTACTAACCATGCTTAGGCATGGTACTAATTGGTACTAACCATGCTTAGGCATGGTACTAACATATATAAAACACAACGATCCTATACAAACAACTCCATAAATAAAACAAAAGAATGCAACTCTTTTTGTCAGTTTAGGGGGACCCCCTTTTTGTCAGTACAATCATGGGCAAGTGCTAAACCCATAAGGCAGAGGATAACCAATGAGATAAAAGCATGTATAATATTGAAGAATTAGACACATGTGCAACATCCGGGTATCTTTATTGTAGACATTTTGCCTACCAATGGCTTTATTGATTCAATGTAGAAGAAAAGGTAATCAGTCCCTCAGCCTAGGAGCAGGTGGTCAGTACTGTCATCTTCATGAATCTGAAGTACTGACCACCTGCTTTTAGGCTGATAGACTGATTACCTCATCTTCTATCTCTCCGACTGATTACCTCATCTTCTATCTCTCCGACTGATTACCTCATCTTCTATCTCTCCGACTGATTACCTCATCTTCTATCTCTCCGACTGATTACCTCATCTTCTATCTCTCCGACTGATTACCCTATCTTCTATCTCTCCGACTGATTACCTCATCTTCTATCTCTCCGACTGATTACCCCATCTTCTATCTCTCCGACTGATTACCTCATCTTCTATCTCTCCGACTGATTACCTCATCTTCTATCTCTCCGACTGATTACCTCATCTTCTATATCTCCGACTGATTACCTCATCTTCTATCTCTCCGACTGATTACCTCATCTTCTATCTCTCCGACTGATTACCTCATCTTCTATCTCTCCGACTGATTACCTCATCTTCTATCTCTCCGACTGATTACCTCATCTTCTATCTCTCCGACTGATTACCTCATCTTCTATCTCTCCGACTGATTACCTCATCTTCTATCTCTCCGACTGATTACCTCATCTTCTATCTCTCCGACTGATTACCTCATCTTCTATCTCTCCGACTGATTACCTCATCTTCTATCTCTCCGACTGATTACCTCATCTTCTATCTCTCCGACTGATTACCTCATCTTCTATCTCTCCAGTCTTCTGTACTGCACTGATAAAGCCACTGGATGGTGAAGCATATACGAAGTAAAGATACCCAGATGTTGAACGTGTAATTTTTCATCTTGTCGGTATTGTATTGATAATCAAAATTAAAAATACTTGCATAATTTTGTATTATCCACTAATACATCTTGATGAGTTTCGAGAGTCTTTCTACCCCCGGAGCCCAGCCATGGGCCAGGATCTAGATTCTAGATTTATGACACCACTAGAAACAACCCATATGAGCTTAGTAGTTTGACTGCAAGGTCAAACTACTAAGCTCAGTATGTGAAAACTTTGAACTGGTACTAACTTTTGCTAGCGCCATGGCTGCATTGCACTGGTAATCCGCATGTTTGGAGAGTTGAATCTGGATAACCGGGTCAGAAACATCAGGGTAGGCTACAAGCACCGCCTTTCTAAAAATATCCTCAAGTTGTCCCAGGATATTACACATGTGGTCACTGAAGATATCATCTTGTGGCTTTGTGCTTCTCTCTCCGCCCATACTTGCTATACTCTGTTAATGCATAAGGTATAGTATGAGTTTCGTAATGTTAAACCTGAAGAGTAAGTCAATACTGTGGCTGAAACAATTCATAAATATGTAATAAAGTTGGTAGAATTACCGACAATATGTAAAGTAAAAGGACACAAGTGCAACTAATGTGACATTTATTGTGGCAACGTTTCGCTCTCCAGGAGCTTTATCAAGCCATTACGTAATGGCTTGATAAAGCTCCTGGAGAGCGAAACGCTGCCACAATAAATGTCACATTAGTTGCACTTGTGTCCTTTTACTTTACAATTCATAAATAACCATTTATTCACATAAGTGATTCTGTGAATAAATGATTTAGAAAACTGACAAGTTGACAAATGAGAGACTTGTGCAATATTTAGGAATCTTTATTCTGGGAATGTTTTGCTAGCTTCTTCAGTGGCTTCTTCAGCCCAATGTAGAGAAAGGTGGAAGATGAGGAGGCTGAGGGACTGATTACCTCAAACTTCTCACCTTTCTTTGCACTGGACTGAAGAAGCTACTGCACGGCAAAATGTTTCCAGAGTAAAGATACCCAAATGTCGAACAAGTGTCTCATTTATCAACCCTTGCTGAAAAGAGAAAATATATAACGGAATTTTGGTCCGTTCTGTCACTGTCAAGTTACAACCGAGTTCTGACTTGTCAGTGGTCCACAGGTCCAGGATTGACTGAACCATCTTCACAATGTTCCTCTCCTAAATAGAGGTTATTTGTGAATATTAAACTTAACCCACAATCTGGAGAAAAACTTTCAACATTTTGGTCCTTTCTGGACCATTATCAGGTCTTGCAACTTGATAGTGGAAAAACACAAATCAAAATGCTATCTAAAGTTTCCTCTCCAAATTGTGGGTTAGTTGTGAATTGTTCCAGCCATGGTATTATGACTTTCATTCATCATTAAACTTATTAGTCAAAATCATGGACATCATGCATGATGAATCTATTAAATGCAACATAATACAGACCTTGTATGACTATATGAAGTAGATAAAGTTCCCATTGCTAAGGGCAATCACAGGCCTATAACTTAGGGAACTTATCCAGGTCAAGACACCGGTAAGTTATGGATTGGGAAAACTTTAAGTATACTGTACTGTAAATGATAGACTAATTGCATTAAATATTTCACATCACCAAAATAAAAAGAATACCGAAGAGAAAGTTAAGGCTCAAAGGTAAAATTTGATTTCCTTTCCCATCAGATAATGGATGTTTTTTTTTTTTTTTTTTTTCAACAAGTCGGTCGTCTCCCACCGAGGCAGGGTGACCCAAAAAAAGAAAGAAAATCCCCAAAAAGAAAATACTTTCATCATCATTCAACACTTTCACCACACTCACACATTATCACTGCTTTTGCAGAGGTGCTCAGAATATAACAGTTTAGAAGCATATACGTATAGAGATACACAACATATTCATTAGTAAAGTGCTAAAGAAGACATCGAAATGCAGTGGTGTTAGATCCCACAAATGTCAACAGTGGTGGTACAGAAATAAAATGTGTGGAGTAAAGACAGGGTCTGATCAACCAGGCTATCAATAAACGTACAGCACTGTAATCAGATTTGATTCAGGGAAGGGGAATGTAGCTCCAATTCCTTGTATTAAGGCAAAAAGGTTGGCCAGCAGCCACCAGATCATCTGCTGGAATATGATGGCCTTTGATATACCTTTACCTTTGATGAGTTCTGAGAGTTTCTCTACTCCTGGAGCCCGACCATGGGCCAGGCTCATTTGGTGTTAGCCTGGTCAACCGGACTGTTGCTGCTGGTGGCCCACTGCCCCACATATCCACCACTGCCTGGTTGATCTGGCAAATGGTGAAGATACTTGTCCAGTTTCCTCTTGAAAGACTTCTACACTTCTCCCCTATTTTCTTAACCCTTAAACGGTCCAAACGTATATATACGTTTTTTCAACATTTGAAAGTATGTAAAAAAATGTAGATCTTCCTTCTTGTTTTACATTTAAAAATGTGTAAAAAAAAAATTTTTTTTCTTAATTTTGAATGTAAAACAAAACGTAGATCTACTTTTGGAGCACTACGAATTTGAACGTCGATCTGTTTGGACCATTTAAGGGTTAATAATGAGCCTTACAATTGTGTCTGGAAGTTAGTTTGTTGTAGGACATTTCCCAAGCTTATGGAATTCTGCACTACAACATACTACACATTTACAATTATATACATGGGGCAATTCTGAACCTACGTGAGTCATAAAACACTTTGGGAAATGAGAGATAAGCAGATCCAATACAAGGAAAGAGATGGTAGCTTGAATTCTTTGGATCAAGAGCCATTTATCAGGATCAAGGCCCCCTCCCTTGATGGAACAAAGTAGCTAATCTATCATTTTTCCAAACTTATCCAGATTTCCTTTAAAATTTGACCTAAGATTTTTCCCAGTAGGTCTCCCATTCCTCTCAAACTACTACGTTAAAGGTAAATATATTAGCTACTCTCCAAGAATAATCACTAACAAAATGTTCACGAATTTTTAATACTAAACAAAAGTCTGTATGATGGGTGCAAAATCAACAAGGTACAAAAATCTGGTCTACGAGCAATGGATGCATTTCAAGAGAAAAGAAAAAGTATATTATGAGAGAAAGCATCCTACCCCAGGGGATGAGACGAGAGATGGGGTGAGGGGTCGATGCTCTTTGGTAAGAGCACAAAATCTCTTGCTAGGGATCTCGCACATTATAGCTCCAGTACAAGTTCAAAGACTTTGACTTCAACAATAACAAATGTAAGTAAATGTTCACCACCATTCACAGTAACTAACTTCTGATTATCAGTTCAGACAAACAGGTTTATGAAATAAGTTTCCAACTGCCAATTAAAAGAGTCATAATACTCCTTAAAATACTCTAGCACTGAAGTTTATGTACTACAATACTGTAGTCTATAAGTAACTTTTAATTAGTTTCTTATCTACACCACTTATGTCTTGTAGCTTGCAAAAAAATTCACAAACTTGTTTAAAACACTGAATATCAATTCACAATGACTTCAAGTTTGCCCGAGACACCATCGCAAGTCTGCAACAGAGCAAGAAAGTTTAAATGAAGTTGATTATGGTCAAAGAACATCAAGGGTATAAAATGCGATTGCTATATAGGTTTTTTTTTTTTCACTAAGATACAGACACTCAAAATTTATAAGAAATTCCAAAAGTGAAATAATTAATTTTTCATCCAAAACAATGAATTATATGTACTGCCTTGGTGGGAGACGGCCGACTTGTTAAAAAAAAAAAAATGTACAATGTAGTTAACCTGGTAATAATTTATAAAGAACTTGTAGCACACTCAGCTCACACACTGTGGTCTCTGGTTCGATCCCCGGTGTGGGTGGAAACATTAGGACGTGTTGCCTTAAGACACCTGCTGTCCATAGTCACCTAGCAGTAAAATAGGTGTACCTGGGTGTTAATCGACTGGTGTGGGTCGCATCCTAGGGCAAAATTAATCTAATTTACCCAAAATACTCTGCATAACAAGGGGCTTTCTATATAGTAGTATGTTATTGATGTCAGCTATGGTCTGTATACCTTGTACATGTACTTGTAGAAATCAAGATTATTATTATTCTCTCTACTACATTTCCACCAATAATGGCTTTAATTAAAGAAAAACCACACACTCTGAAAAGAGTTATGAGTGACTTTAAGAAGCTTTACCTGCTTCAGCATGAATGCCAAGAAAGATCTAGTCTTGTCTGTTACATCAGCAACTCACCTAGCAGCAGAGAAAGAATCTACAAGGCACCATTCATTCAAACAGATCTTTGGCCATAAGGTAAGGGTACACAAGTGCTTAAAGAAGGATGACAAGAAGATACTACAAAGATTCCTTACTAAAACTACCAATACTTCTTTCAACACACCGGCCGTATCCCACCGAGGCGGGGTGGCCCAAAAGGAAAAACGAAAGTTTCTCCTTTTACATTTAGTAATATATACAGGAGAAGGGGTTACTAGCCCCTTGCTCCCGGCATTTTAGTCACCTCTTACAACACGCATGGCTTACGGAGGAAGAATTCTGTTCCACTTCCCCATGGAAGTAAGAGGAAATAAACAAGAACAAGAACTAGAAAGAAAATAGAAGAAAACCCAAAGGGGTGTGTATATATATGCTTGTACATTTATGTGTCTTGTGACCTAAGTGTAAGTAGAAGTAGCAAGATGTACCTGAAATCTTGCATGTGTATGAGACAGAAAAAAAAAGACACCAGCAATCCTACCATCATGTAAAACAATTACAGGCTTCAGTTTTACACTCACTTGGCAGAACGGTAGTACCTCCCTGGGCGGTTGCTGTCTACCAACCTACTACCTAGAACTACCAATACTATCCTTCATATTAACACTGCTATATTATTAAACAGAGATTTAATACCTAAAACAACCATTACATTTAATAATCTTATCTTTAGACAATTTGATTATAGTGACACACAATTCAAATAACCAAACTACCGATTCAATGTCAAGTTTTAGTCGGCCATAAACGATCTGTATAAGTATAGGCCTTTCAAGGACAAAACGGCTAATGTAAGCTGTTCTCTATAACACAAACGTATCTCCTCGAGAAATAAAAACACCTTTTTATTTATTACATACCAGTACTGCACTACAGTAGGACCCCTGTATCCTTGGGGGATACATTCCAAGGACCTGCCGTGGATGCCGAAACCATGGATAGTAATAAACCCTATTTATAAGTCTTATTATAAAGTTTAATTGGTAAATAATGAACAATAAGTGGAGAATTGTCACTTTTTCACTGATGGAAAGCATTTCATGGCTTCTCCTAGACTCAAAAGAACTGCCAGTTTCTCTGTTTTTGTGCTCTGGGGCTATTATTATACAATATTCAGAGGTATTTTTGGGCCACAGTAAACTGTGGATAACTGAAACCATGGATACCAAATCAGTGGATATGGGGGTTTTACTGTATATTTATAGGGAAACACTACACCCGTAGGGGGTTATACAAGACCTGAGGAATGAGTGGCAATCACCATACCCGTCCTTAGTAGGGTTATAATGTACATACAAAGATACGTCTTTTATTATTATTATTACAATCAAAATGAAGCACTAAACCCACAAGGGTAAATAACTTTTAAAGAGTTCTGAAAGCACCAAAGAAAACCCCTAAATATCACAATAGAGAGAATCTTACCTTTTTAAGAATGCTGATGCGGTATTTTAATTTCTTGTTTTCATTAATAAGGTTGATGAATTCTTTGTCAGTTATATCGTCCGCGAATAAATCCATCTGACCGTCTTCAAGTGCTTGTACACAAGCAGCCAATTTATCAGTCTCCTTTTCCTGAAATATTACAGAATTTGGATTTGGATTAAGATGACGAGAGCTGTCGTGAGGTGGGAAGGAAGAAGGATAAGGGAGGATGGAAATAACTGGAAAAGGATGGGAAGGAGAGGAAGAGGAGGAATCAAGGCAAGTGGCCCAACCACTTTGGGATATGTGGTACCGAAGTACTGGAGGCGTAGATGGAGAGGCTTGAATGATGTCGTTATTTATTACAGAATAACACAATTAAATACTACATGTGCAAAAATACGTGCAAAAATCTCGAACAAGAGATACAAGATGCAATGTGGTCATTTTGCATCTTAAATACACACAGAAAGAATAATAATCAGTGATAATCAGAAATGAACAAATATTTATAATATTTTAAGTAAGAACTGTCACAAACAAAATACATCCTAATTTAAATTCCACCACTAAGAAAATAATTTCCACTTCGAAACAGCCAAAATATCTTTTAAGTTTATGGTGGCACAGATACATATAAAGTGCAATTATTAAAAAAAAAGTCAGACAAAGCAATTTATTACCATTGGGGTCCTTGAGAGTGCCTTATCATTAACATTAAATTCATGTGGGGGCACTAAACCCTTAAGGTCATATAAGAGGCAATATGGATTGATTATTAATAAGCTTAATTAGATACAGGTACACATACATACAATTACATAGTGACATACTGTAATAATTGTGAACAAGCAACAAAAAATACAGATAACTACAGGAGATTGAATGATTGTGTTAGGCCTTTCATGTTGCAATCAACATATCATCAGGAGCTTGCAATGTTGCATAGAAGGAAATCCAGGAAGAACCGGTCATGGGAATGGCTCTCACAGCAACTTATTTACACCTGGGTCTTTAAATAAGTTTATAAGATTATTTAGGCACAGATACAAATCTATAATTATCATACATAGTAACATATGTGTAAATTACTTAACCTAACCCCCCAAAAAAGTCAAAGTGACTTATTTCCATAGTAACAATCGAATATGTCACTTTGACGGATTTTTTTGGGTTATCCTGGTGGGCAATTTATACATATATTAAACTATGTATAATAATTATAATCATATCTACCTGTACCTAAATAAACTTATGTTAAATTAACCACGATAACTGTCCACCCAAAAAAATCAAAATGACTTATTTCCATTAGTGGTCCTTAAATAAGTAAGTAAATAAGTTTATTTAGGTACAGGTGCACAGAAAAAATTATCATACATAACAACATATGTATAAATTACCCACCAGGAACCCCCCCAGCCCCCCAAACAAAAAAAAATTACTTATTTCCATGGTGGCTGTTAAATAAGTAAGTTAATAAGTTTATTTAGGCACAGATAAACATAATATAATTATTATCAATAATAACATACGTATAAATTACCCACCAGGATAACGCCCCCCCCCCCCCCCCCCCCCCCGTCCAAAAAAAAAAATCAAAATGACTTATTTCCATTAAAATCCTTGACTTAAGTATATTCAAACACAGGTACACATAAATACACTTACAAAATTCATCATACATAATAACATACATGTAAATTACCCACCAAGATAACCCCCTCAAAAATTATTTCGACTGGGGTCCTTGACATATTTCCACCAGTTATTTAGCGTCTGATAAGTGGTTTAGCAGCATTAATGTGGCTGCCAGCATGACGGTACAGCATGATTATCATACTCACAGCATGTTCACAGCGGAGGGTGTAGTCATGCAGCTGTGTTTCAATCATTTCTCGTGATAATGTCATCACTGGACACCAACAACGTGTTTACTTTCTTCTTCCTGGGGTTGTTAAGGGTCACCGAAACTTCTTTCTTAATGAACCCTTTCACCTGGTATCTTTCTCGGGGTTGTTAAGGGTCACCGAAACTTCTTTCTTAATGAACCCTTTCACCTGGTGTCTTTCTCGGGGTTGTTAAGGGTCACCGAAACTTCATGCAGCTGTGTTTCAATCATTTCTCGTGATAATGTCATCACTGGACACCAACGTGTTTACTTTCGTCTTCCTGGGGTTGTTAAGGGTCACCGAAACTTCTTTCTTAATGAACCCTTCCACCTGGTGTCTTTCTCGGGGTTGTTAAGGGTCACCGAAACTTCTTTCTTAATGAACCCTTTCACCTGGTGTCTTTCTCGGGGTTGTTAAGGGTCACCGAAACTTCTTTCTTAATGAACCCTTTCACCTGGTGTCTTTCTCGGGGTTGTTAAGGGTCACCGAAACTTCATGCAGCTGTGTTTCAATCATTTCTCGTGATAATGTCATCACTGGACACCAACGTGTTTACTTTCTTCTTCCTGGGGTTGTTAAGGGTCACCGAAACTTCTTTCTTAATGAACCCTTCCACCTGGTGTCTTTCTCGGGGTTGTTAAGGGTCACCGAAACTTCTTTCTTAATGAACCCTTCCACCTGGTGTCTTTCTTGGGGTTGTTAGGGGTCACCGAAACTTCTTTCTTAATGAACCCTTCCACCTGGTGTCTTTCTCGGGGTTGTTAAGGGTCACCGAAACTTCTTTCTTAATGAACCCTTTCACCTGGTGTCTTTCTCGGGGTTGTTAAGGGTCACCAAAACCTCTTCCTTAATTAGCTCTCCCTCCTGGTGATCCTCTATTAATGTATAAGTTACTTGAATCATTTACCGAACTGTGGCAGGTCAGGGTTCGACCTCACGACACATTGTCCCACCTCAAGAGACAACACAATGTACATGTCACCTTATCCACTCAGCCATCAATCCTACAAAGATCACGCACCCAGCAGAGCTAGGTGTTTTTCATGATCCCAGGATGGGTATAGGGTGCGTAATAAATACATTAAACTAACTAAACTAGACATTTCACTTACTTCTCCGAGTCTAAGGGACAATATCCTCCAGGTATACTCTCTCTCTCAGCTCAGCTGGTAGCTGCTTCAGATAATGAAGCATTGATGTCAACTATGGTCTGTATACCTTGTACATGTACTTGTAGTAAATTAAGATATTATTATTATTATTATTATTATTATTATTATTATTATTATTATTATTATTATTAAAGCATCCCAGTGAAAATAAGGCAGTCAGATAACATGTCTTTATTGGGTTATCAGGACTGTAATTAGGGGCCCCTATCCGACTGGAGTGTCCTGGCTTCATGGACGGATCTACTGTGGAACTAATGAACCTTAAGCTTCAGGGGCCCCTATCCGACTGGAGTGTCCTGGGTTCATTGTACCAACATGGCGCTGACTGTCATAAGAAAGAAGGAGCACTGCAGCAGGCCTACTGGCCCATGAGAGGCAGGTCCAAGTCTCGTACCTGAATCAGGCGTCGAGTTTGCCGCCCTTTACAGTAATGGCGGGAAAAATTATAGAAAACGGGGAATTGGCGCCAATAATCAGGTGATCGGTGGATAGTGGCGCCATTCTAGTGCGTCACTCGGTGTGTGTAACATGTACTCACCTAGATGAGGTTGCAGGAGTCGAGTCCAAGCTCCTGGCCCCTATTAATGGTGCTGAGGCTCTTGATTATCTGGGCATCAATTATTAAGGTCAGTGATGTTACTATTTACCACAGTCAAGGGAGGTACCTTGATGTCAATTCAGGGCTCTTGATCCAAGAAAACAGGTCTTATTTTCCACTTGAATGCACCCCCAGGTGCTGTATAACCCCTTCGGGTTTAGTGCTTCCCTTTGATTAGAATGAAAATCCAGATAAAAACAATGTTAGCCTGATGTTAAATATATTTGATATAAATTGTTAAGATGATCAGAGTAAACCTGTTAATGGTTCAGTAGATCGTTGATAAACTCACCCAGTACTAAAAACAGTTACTAAAACAGTTACTAAAAACAACAGACATAGTCCCACTCCACAAAGGGGGCAGTAAAGCAACAGCAAAGAACTACAGACCGATAGCACTAACATCCCATATCATAAAAAATTTTTATGAGAGAGCCACAAAATTTGGTTAACACAAGCCTATCCGATGTTATCCTGACGCCAAATGACTTCGAACAGGCGATAAATGACATGCCCATGCACTCTGCCCCAGGGCCAGACTCATGGAACTCTGTGTTCATCAAGAACTGCAAGAAGCCCCTATCATGAGCCTTTTCCATCCTATGGAGAGGGAGCATGGACACGGGGGTCGTCCCTCAGTTACTAAAAACAACAGACATAGCCCCACTCCACAAAGGGGGCAGTAAAGCAACAGCAAAGAACTACAGACCAATAGCACTAACATCCCATATCATAAAAATCTTTGAAAGGGTCCTAAGAAGCAAGATCACCACGCATCTAGAAACCCATCAGTTACACAACCCAGGGCAACATGGGTTTAGAACAGGTCGCTCCTGTCTGTCTCAACTATTGGATCACTACGACAAGGTCCTAAATGCACTAGAAGACAAAAAGAATGCAGATGTAATATATACAGACTTTGCAAAAGCCTTCGACAAGTGTGACCATGGCGTAATAGCGCACAAAAATGCGTGCTAAAGGAATAACAGGAAAAGTCGGTCGATGGATCTATAATTTCTCACTAACAGAACACAGAGAGTAGTCGTCAACAGAGTAAAGTCCGAGGCAGCTACGGTGAAAAGCTCTGTTCCACAAGGCACAGTACTCGCTCCCATCTTGTTCCTCATCCTCATATCCGACATAGACAAGGATGTCAGCCACAGCACCGTGTCTTCCTTTGCAGATGACACCCGAATCTGCATGACAGTGTCTTCCATTGCAGACACTGCAAGGCTCCAGGCAGACATTGCAGACACTGCAAGGCTCCAGGCAGAAATCAACCAAATCTTTCAGTGGGCTGCAGAAAACAATATGAAGTTCAACGATGAGAAACTTCAATTACTCCTATATGGTAAACATGAGGAAATTAAATCTTCATCAGAGTACAAAACAAATTCTGGCCACAAAATAGAGCGAAACACCAACGTCAAAGACCTGGGAGTGATCATGTCGGAGGATCTCACCTTGAAGGACATAAC